TGTTCATGTCAAACATCCACAACGTTGATGACAAAAAACCACACTATTCATGTCAATCAGTTACACTACATTAATCATGTCAAACATCCACATTGTTCATGTGAAACAGCTACCTTGTTCATGTCAAACAACTACATTGTTCATGTCAAACATCTACATTGTTCATGACAAACATCAACACTATTCATGTCAATCATTTACACTATATTGTTCATGTCAAACATCTACATTGTTCATGTGAAACATCCACATTGTTCATGTGAAACATCCTCATTGTTCATGTCAAACATCCACATTGTTCATGACAAACATCCACATTGTTCATGTAAAGCATCCTCATTGCTCATGTCAAACATCCACATTGTTCATGTCAAACATCCTGATTCTTCTTGTGAAACATCCTTATTTTTCATGTCAAACATCTTCCATGTTCATGACAAACATCCACACTATTCATGTCAAATATCTACATTGTGCATGTGAAACATCCTCATTGTTCATGTTAAACATCTACATTGTGCCTGACAAACATCTCTATTGTTCATGTGAAACGTCTACATTGTTCATGTCAAACATCCACATTGTTCATGAGAAACATCTACATTCTTTATGTCAAACATCAACATTGTTCATGTGAAACATCCTCATTGTTCATGTGAAACATCCACATTGTTCATGTGAAACATCCTCATTGTTCATGTGAAACATCCACATTGTTCATGTGAAACATCCACATTGTTCATGTGAAACATCTACATTGTTCATGTCAAACATCCACATTGTTCATGTGAAACATCTACATTGTTTATGTGAAACATCCACATTGTTCCTGTGAAACATCCTCATTGTTCATGTCAAACATCCACATTGTTCATCTGAAAGATCCTCATTGTTGATGTGAAACATCCACATTGTTCATGAGAAACATCCTCATTGTTCATGTCAAACGTCCACATTGTTCATGTCAAACATCAAAATTGTTCATGTCAAACACCTACTTTGTTCATGTCAAACATCTACATTCTTCATGTTAAACACCTACTTTGTTCATGTGAAACATCCACATTGTTCATGTGAAACACCTACATTGTTCATGTCAAAGGCCTTCATTGTTCAAATGAAACATCTACATTGTTCATGTGAAACATCCACACTGTTCATGTGAAAAATCTACATTTTTCATATGTGAAACATCCACATTGTTCATGTGAAACATCTACATTGTTTCTGTTAAACATCCACATTGTTAATGTGAAACATCCTAATTGTTCATGTGAAACAACCTCATTGTTCATGTGAAACATCCTCATTGTTCATGTTAAACATCGACATTTTGATTGAGAAACATCCACATTGTTCAAGTGAAACATCTACATTGTTCATGTGAAACATCTACATTGTTTATGTCAAACATCCACATTGTTCATGTGAAACATCCTAATTGTTCATGCTAAACAACCTCATTGTTCATGTGAAACATCCTCATTGTTCATGTGAAACAACCACATTGTTCATGTGAAACATCCACATTGTTCATGTGAAACATCCTCATTGTTCATGAGAAACATCCTCATTGTTCATGTCAAACATCCACATTGTTCCTGTCAAACGTCCTCATTGTTGATGTCAAACATCAAAATTGTTCATTTCAAACACCTACTTTGTTCATGTCAAACATGTATATTGTTCATGTCAAAAACCTACTTTGTTCATGTCAAACATCCACATTGTTCATGTCAAACAGCTACAATGTTCATGTCAAACATCCACATTGTTCATGTCAAAGACCTACATGGTTCATGTGAAACATCTACATTGTTCATGTCAAACATCTACATTGTTCATGTGAAACATCCACATTGTTCATGTGAAACATCTATATTGTTTATGTCAAACATCCACATTGTTCATTTCAAACATCCTCATTGTTCATTTGAAACGTCTATATTTGTTCATGTCAAACATCCTCATTGTTCATGTCAAACATGTAAATTGATCATGTCACACATTCTCATTGTTCATGTCAAACATCCACATTGTTCATGTGAAACATCTACATTGTTCATGAGAAACATCTTCATTGTTCATTTCAAACATTCACATTGTTCCTGTGAAACGTCCTCATTGTTCATGTCAAACATCAAAATTGTTCATGTCAAACACCTACTTTGTTCATGTCAAACATCCACATTGTTCATTTGAAACATCCTCATTGTTCATTTGAAACATCTATATTTTCATGTCAAACATCCACATTGTTCCTGTCAAACATCCACATTGTTTAAGTGAAACATCCTCATTGTTCATGTCAAACATCAACATTGTTCAAGTGAAACATCTACATTGTTCATGTGAAACATCCACATTGTTCCTGTCAAAGATCTACATTGTTCATGTGAAACATCTACATTGTTCACGTGAAACATCCACATTGTTCATGTGAAACATCTACATTGTTCATGTGAAACATCCACATTGTTCATGTGAAACATCCACATTGTTTATGTCAAACATGAACATTGTTCATGGAAAACATCCTCATTGCTCATGTCAAACATCCATATTGTTCATGAGAAACATCCTCATTGTTCATGTCAAACATCCACATTGTTCCTGTCAAACGTCCTCATTGTTCATATCAAACATCAAAATTGTTCATGACAAACATCTATATTGTTCATGTCAAACACTTACATTGTTCATGTCAAACATCCACATTGTTCATGTCAAACATCCACATTGTTCATGTGAAACACCTACATTGTTCCTGTCAAACATGCACATTGTTCAAGTGGAACATCCTCATTGTTCACGTGAAGCATCCACATTGTTGATGTTAAACATCGTCATTGTTCATGTGAAACATCCACATTGTTCATGTGAAACATCGACATTGATCATGTGAAACATCCTCATTGTTGATGTCAAACATCCACATTGTTCATGTCAAACATCCTCATTATTCATGTGAAACATCCACATTGTTCATGTCGAACATCTACATTGTTCATGTCTAACATCTATATCGTTAATGTGAAACATCTATATTGTTTATGACAAACATCCACATTGTTCCTGTCAAAGATCTACATTGTTCATGTGAAACATCTACACTGTTCTTGTGAAATGTCCACATTGTTCAAGTGAAACATCTACATTGTTCATGTGAAACATCCTCATTGTTCATGTGAAACATCTATATTGTTTATGTCAAACATCCACATTGTTCATTTCAAACATCCTCATTGTTCATTTGAAACATCTATATTGTTCATGTCAAACATCCTCATTGTTCATGTCAAACATCTATAATGATCATGTGAAACATTCTCATTGCTCATGTCAAACATCCACATTGTTCATGTGAAACATCCACATTGTTCATGAGAAACATCTTCATTGTTCATTTCAAACATCCACATTGTTCCTGTCAAACGTCCTCATTGTTCATGTCAAACATCAAAATTGTTCATGTCAAACACCTGCTTTGTTCATGTCAAACATCCACATTGTTCATGTGAAACATCCACATTGTTCATGTGAATTATCCCCGTTGTTTATGTCAAACATCCACATTGTTCCTGTGAAACATCTATGTTGTTTATGTCAAACATCCACATTTTTCATGTGAAACATACACATTGTTCATGTGAAACATCTATATTGTTCATGGCAAACATCCTCATTGTTCATGTGAAACATCCACATTGTTCATGTGAAACATCTACATTGTTCATGAGGACCATCCTCATTGTTCATGTCAAACATCCACATTGTTCCTGTCAAACGTCCTCATTGTTCATGTCAAACATCAAAATCGTTCATGTCAAACATCTATATTGTTCATGTCAAACATCTACTTTGTTCATGTGAAACATCCACATTGTTCATGTGAAACACCCACTTTTTTCATGTGAAGCATCCACATTGTTCATGTGAAACGTCCACATTGTTCATGTGAAACATCCTCATTGTTCATGTGAAACATCCACATTGTTCATGTCAAACATCCTTATTATTCATGTCAAACATCCACATTGTTCATGTCAAACATCCACATTGTTGATGTCAAACATCCACATTGTTCATGTCAAACATCCACATTGTTCATGTCAAACATCCACATTGTTCATGTCAAACATCCACATTGTTCATGTGAAGCATCTACATTGTTTATGTGAAACATCCACATTGTTCTTGTGAAACATCCTCATTGTTCATGTCAAACATCCACATTGTTCCTGTCAAACGTCCTGATTGTTCATGTCAAACATCGAAATTGTTCATGTGAAACACCTACTTTGTTCATGTCAAACATCTATCTTGTTCATGTCAAACACGTACTTTGTTCATGTCAACATCTACATTCTTCATGTCAAGCACCTACTTTGCTCATGTCAAACATCCACATTGTTCATGTGAAACACCTACATTGTTCATGTGAAACACCTACATTTTTCATGTGAAACATCCTCATTGTTCATGTTAAACATCTATATTGTTCATGTCAAACATCAATATTGTTCATGAGAAACATCTACATTGTTCATGTCAAACATCCACATTGTTCATGTGAAACATCCTCATTCTTCATGTGAAACATCCACATTGTTCATGTGAAACATCCTCATTATTCATGTCAAACATCCACATTGTTCATGTGAAACATCTACATTGTTTATGTGAAACATCCATATTGTTCATGTGAAACATCCTCATTGTTCATGTGAAACATCCACATTGTTCATGTGAAACATCCTCATTGTTCATGTCAATGATCCACATTGTTCATGTCAAACATTCACATTGTTCATGTCAAACATCTACATTGTTCATGATAAACATCTACATTGTTCATGATAAGCATCTACATTATTTGTGGTAAACATCTACATTATCACTGTCAAACACCTACATCGTTCATGTCAAACATCTACATTGTTTATGTGAAACATCTATATTATTCCTGTCAAACATCCAAATTGTGCATTACATCGTACCTTGGTGGTAGCTTTGTTTTCCAGAAACGACTTCAGTTGGCCTTCAGTGAAGACCTTTGGCTCAACGAACACATTGAACAAGTAGACAAAACCGTCTTGTTTGGCCACCTGGAGAAGAGTAAGACGGCCCTTTTTTCCCAGATTGATTCCCTCGCAGTTCACAGCAACGACAGACCCCCGCAGGAGGTCATCGACCGCCTTGACGCAGTCAGCGACGTTATCCACAACCTTGTGGCTTTCTACATCTGCCATCTACAAAAACAGGGCCAAAACTGGATAAGTCAAAAGGGACCAAGAAAAGTCGAAAGGACCAAAGGAAAATCAGACATTGTCCCGTTTTTACTTAAATACTGTGAAATATGGTAATAAGGTACAAATATGTTAGTTAAACATTGGTGTAAGGGAGAAAATTCCGTTTTCTTTAGCGGTATGTAAGGGGAGCATGCCGCCGGAAAAGGGGAATAACTCTCAAGGTTTTTTTTTTGTGAAGGACGTTTGAAGGTTGTAATGGTTTCTGAAATAAAAGGCTCAACTGCACACAACTGCACACCTGGTGGAGATGCCAAAACGATCCAAATATGAGCCAAATTAAACATGAACATTACCGCGGAAGATGGCGCTCCCTGGCTACGGAAATTTGAAGCATGGGCGGCAATTCAGAGGTATCGTGATGATTATTATTTTTATTTTTTATTATTATTGGATATTTATATAGCGCACATATCCACGCACTAGTGCATGCTCAAGGCGCTGGTATTTTTTCCCTCGATCATTGGATGTCAATCTCAACTCCCTGGGGAGTATACAACTCTTGCAGCCACTAGGCGCACCGAGTTATTGTGGCTTTCTCATCCTTACGAGGTACCCATTCACAGCTGGGAGGACTGGGACACATAGTCACAGTACTTTGTCCATGTTCACTGCACGTTGCTGTACCCGCAACTAGGTGTTTGCACGTATTCATGTGGCCACCATCTGGTCATTTACCAACGGATTCGTGGGTTCTTTTAAGTGCACAGGGTTGTGTACTGTACACTAGGGGTTGTGACAACACTGAAAGAGTCTGCACACAAAGTTGACTCCAAGGTTTTTACACCCGGTCACAGGTGGGCTCGATCCCGACACCTCAACCTCGCTGGATCACTAGACTGCCGCCTTAGCCAGCTCGCCCACCGCGCCCTGATCAATACGGGTCAGTTATGTTGTTGTGTGCGGAGTACGTTGCTTTGCAATGGTTTCTGGATTTGCCTGATCATGTAAAACAAAGACAGACTTGTTTACCATTTTAATGAACACTTTGTCCGTGGTCAAAGTACTTGGCTGTTGGAACAACAGTTGTGGGATCGCACGATGATTGATGGACAGCCGCTTGAATCTTACATAGCAGACGTTCAACAAAAATGCTCACGTTTAAATAATACTTAACATGATAAACTCTCTATCTTTATCAGAGGGTTGAAACATATCCTGCGTGGTCCAGTTATGCAACACAGACCTGCAACGCTCACAGATGCAATCCAACATGCACGATTAGTACATGAGAGTCAGGTATTGACACAACCCAGTCATACCCAAGCCCAGAGAAATATGCCACAGACGCACTGACATCAGTGATGTCAGGTTTGAAAGATCAGATAAAGAAACCCTCAAGGTTTAAGGTGTTACCAATGTGGTGGATTCAATCATTTGGCCAAACACTGCTTGCTGCATATTGGAAAGGAGGGGAGAGGAGGTTAATAGGTTATTTGAGCAACATTGTGAAAGAAACCTGTAAATTGTTGGATGTGCAGAAAGCACAGACAACGAGCTACCATCCCTCATGCAATGGCCAGAGTGAGAGAATGATGTCAACAATCTTAGCATCATCGTATAAATATGTTGAGGGCACCCATGACCAGTGGGACAGACTTATTCCTTTCATACAGTACTCCTACAAATATAACCTCATGTCACCATTCTTTCTTGCGTATGGACACTATCCGAGGAGTTTCCTTGAACTCGCAATCAGTCCAAATCTTGACATTCCCGAAACAGCTCAATCTTATATCACTGAACTTGTAGAGGGTGTGGAAATTGCACGGAAAGTAGCGATTCAGAATATTCCCCTAAATTCAAAGTGGGTGATACAGTCTTCATCTATCGCCCTGTGTTAGTTACCGGTCAAACACGGAAATTGCTCCCACCCTGGGCAGGGCCCTATTATATTGTAGAGAAGTTGTCCGACATACATGTCAAAGTGAGAAAGAAATCTGATGGACTGCTGATCCGCAACCAAATCCATGTTAATCGTCTAAAACACGGACGTTTACGAGTTGATCGCCAAGAGGATCCGACACCTCCAGTTAACATAGACAGTGTAGAGCCTGCCATCCTAGGTGTCGAAGAATTACCGGAGTCTTCACCACACAAAATGACTGTATTACCCAAATTTACTAACGTCAGGAAATACTCGTTTCATCCGGCGGCCATATGAACAACGTTTGAAATCTACGTATCATCTGGCCGTTAGATTTACAGACGTTTAAAGGGGTGTTAAAATAAACGAACATTCAACTCTGCATTTACATGTATTTAAAAGGTGTGTAAATCTGGCCATTTGACACCGAAAGCCTGTCAGTTAACGCAAAGGAAATAACCCTTGTGTTTTAAAACAATGCCTTAATCAGAGTCACAATGAAGTGTAGGTTGCCATGCATTTTCTAGTCTGTCTCACAGTCCCTGAACCACATTATTTCCTCTACTGCCAAGCATCTCTCTGCAATGCTAAAGCCTTAAATGATGCAAGTCTAGATCTCCTCAGGTCCAGGGTCATTCGTCACCACTCGCCCCTTTCCGTAACCTCCAAGAAGCTTGTCCCGGAATAACACGAGTGGGTCACGAATGGAGTTGGTTCGTGTAGCATATTTGGCTGTGCTCCAAGAGAGACAAAGTGCTATTCTGTTGGGACAGCTAGGGAGACTTGCGAGGACAAAGGGCAACGCATCGCCCTTTGTTCACCACTGAACCTTTTAATCCCTCGAAACATGCACCTCACAAGATTTGCCAACACCACAGACAAGGCGTAACTGATACTGGTAGCAAGAGCGAGTGCAGCTTGATAAGGCGTGTTAGCTTGCGTAATACTGCTTTCTTTGTTTGGCTCTTTTGGTGATAAGAATATTGAGGTCAGTGAGATTATTGTGAACGATCGCAATATGTATCATCATAAACGGGCCCAGATAAAAGTACATGTCATTCATTCCCACATTATATCCCCTTCATAGACACGGGACATGGTTGTTACAAGTAGGGCAAACACTTTCTTCTATAAATATCTGCCGGTTTCACGCTACATACATGTATTCAGATTATTGAGAAAAGTAGCGACTCATGTTCTCCTCCATCACACATATAATTGTATAGACACTTAGTGATTAGGGTGAGTGAGTGTGTTAAAATGTAACGTAACATCGGCAATATTGCAGCCATATCGTGACGAGAACAGTTCAGTGATTAGGGATAGCACTGCAACAACTTAATGAAATTTACGACATACACTATCATCTGCAGTAGTACTGCCATACCTAGCATTGTGTTTATTACTCTCTAACATAAGGTGAAATATCTCAGGGTTGTCATGGTAACGATAATTTGGCATACTATTTTTCGTCTTATTATTTTTTCTGCGATCAGAATTTAAATCAGTTTTGACGTGAGCATGTTAAGAGAAAAGAAGCTGTAAAACGAATATTAATGTGATCGAACCTATTGGCCTTTTTAAAAGCGAGTTTCAAGCCACCTACATAAAAAACCTTCATGACAAATATCTGCTAATCCGTGGCACGATTCCAACCATATCATGAGCATGTGTTTGTGAATCGTTATCAAATAGTGATGTAACAAGGCGTCCATGCCGCGTCAACAACACATGGAAACGCACGAGAATTGCAATACGGGACCCTAAACCACTGATGCTCCGTGACCTGGAGACACATGTAATTGAGCGTATGTAGGAACGGGTATAGAAGACAAAAGACAAAATGGATACTCGTGCTGTTATACTTTTGAATTATAAGTAAACATTCGTTCTTGTCACGGGATAAATGTATACTTTCCAGTTTCAACCAAATGTACATTCAAAGGATATCGAAACCTAGGTTATGCCATTTGAATCATATTTACAATTAAAAGACCCAAACAATAGTCTGTTGTCAAAATATTTTGTTTTCCATATCTTGTCCCAATCTGTATCCAGAGACCATATAATAGTCTATTATATGGCCTCTGCTGTATCATTATGCCCTAAATGACGCATATCTCTGTTATAATCTGCAGGACAACTCACTGCAGGGTTCGGGTTACAGAGTAAACATACCAAACTCCCATTGCTGGCGGGGGACCAACATCTTCAGTAACGTTTACAACTGCCAACGCTTAATTCACAAGTGTTGGGGCAATACGCTGAGGCTCAGGGTCCTGTACCATGTTTGTGAAATATCTATGATGCCTTATATGAAGTCTATAATCTAAGCAGGTCACTGCTTGAAGAAAGGCTCCTTTAGAATTTTGTTTGGTAAATATTAGCATTTCACTGACTTAATCATATTGGAAAACACATGGCAACCTATACTTCATTGTGACTATGATTAAGATCATTGTTAAACCAGAGACCATATATATAAGGGTTATTTCCTTTTGAGTTAACTGACAGGCTTTCGGTATCTACTTTTTGGAACTCCGGTCAAAGCTGATGTTATGCTGTCTGGACTGAGTATAGTGTTTTTGTAATGCTTATGTTGCTTTAAATAAATTATTGTTAAATGTACATATGATGTTTTTGAAGGATAATCTCAGTTGACGCAGAGATTGTGCACGTGTTTTCCCCCACTCTTTCCACATCCATCCTTCAGTTTTTATGTTTTGTGACATGATCTGCACACTGATAATTAAAAACATGTACATAGATAATAACTGTTTGCAATCTTTACCCAGTTTAGTTTTCCATTTATTTAGCATTTTTCAGTTTCTATTATTTTCTTGAAATTTTGCACGGAGGTACATTTAACAGTTTCACCCAATAACAGTAAAGCATACAGATAATACGTTTCGGTACTTTGATAGATTAATAAGTTCACATTATATTCAATGATATTGGGATGCCAAAATGATTAACATTATTACATGATGTATAACAAATCAGTCGACAAAAATTAAAAATTAAAAACGCATGAGCAACATAAATGATGTCAGGTAGTAAGCTTTCAAGAATTACAGAAACTGCTTAGTTATCTAACTTTATGAACTAATTGCAGTCACTAGAGTGTCAATAATCTACCCCAGAGATGGAATCAAAATAGGTGTACAGTATATTCCGTCGGGTAACTGAAATTTGAGAAAACGTCCGTATGGGACAATATCTGTATTCCGAACCAAAAAGCGGCTATCCCAAGTAGTGGTGTAACGATTTATCAATAGTTTCGATGTTTGCATAGTCAACTATGCGATACGAATGCATCAATACAAAACACATTTAGGCAATACATCAGGATATTTATATCGCGAGGGTCCATGATACATCGATGTATCGCCACAGAGTCGATATATCCCGATACAACTTAAGTACTACTTAAAGTTGTAAGGAGTATGGCATAAGGAATAGGAAGGGAGTCTCTTTGAAATCCTTCTGAAATTTAAAAACAAATTGAGCCTTATAGGAATTTGTTTGTATCTGTTACATGAACAAAAGAATTGGTGTAGAAGTGAACATGTTTCAAACTCTGTGAACTGTACAATACAGAACCATTGAAATACATGTTAAAGTAGTGTTAATCTTGTAACACTATATTTACCCATTACCAACCATTCATACGTGTACTAAATATATGACAAACCTAACCCTGGTCATACGAGATTTCAAAGGTATTAAAATGCATGTCCTACAATCACAGCATTTACATATGTTACACATGCTAGAAAACACATGAAAACAATGGCCTAGTTTGAATGTTCGTTTATTTTAACACCCCTTTAAACGTGTGTAAATCTGACAGCCAGATGGTACGTAGATTTCAAACGTTTGTTCATATTGCCGCCGGATGAAACGTATATTTCCTAACGTTAGTAAATTTGGGTAATACAGTCATTTTGTGTGATGACAGGGGGGCGAGGCTTCCGGTCACATGGGGGCCGCTATCCTTCGGAGACCTCAAAATTTGGGATGACTTCTTCTCCGGCATAACTTCTTCTCCGGCATGACTTCTTCTGTTGTTCATTGTATTACTATGTCTGTTTGCAAAAGGTTTTAGCACATGTTGATGTTTGCAAAAAAGTTTATTTTCATCACTTATGTTTTGTTATTTTTTAGCTATCGAGCTTAAAATCGGCTGCCAAGTTTCTTTCGGACGTTAGTATACTTCAACCTGGTGTCAAAATATATCAAAACTTACCTCAACTCAGGGCCAGTAAACGGACGTCTGTGAAGAAGCTTTCACCACAGTGGCTATACTCAGCGACTGAAATAAACATTGACTAAATACTTAGAATAGCAAATACGTCATTATTGTCGAATCGAAACAGATAACTAATTCTACGAAACTTTAGTGTGTCATCAGAAGTAAGCTAGACTAACGCTTAGGCTCTGAAAATGTGTTATTTTGGTAGCAACAAATCAGACTATTTAAATCGAAAAGCAGCCCCAGTGAAATGGGAGATTCAGAGCCCGTGGAAACTCGGGAGCTGAATCAAATAGAGTTATTCCATTGCAGAAAGGACTTGGTTATAGGGGTTTGGGGACTGTGAGACAGACTAGTGTGTAACAGCTGCAGCAGAACACGGATATCACACTGCAGTGGGCCGGCTAGTATTACATTCTAAACAAACAAAACCAAGTGGGTGACGAATAAATACAAACTCTAACGATCATGCATTGTGAGAAATGAGATAACGCCTATTACTTCGGGTGATCTTCACAGTGGTTGTTTAACATTAAATCAGGTCATTTAAGGGTGGGGGTTGTCAGAGGCATTCAGAGCAGCGTCTGCAAGGAATAAGAGTCTCGAGGGTGATTTGTTGTTGTTTTCTTTCTTTTTTTAAAAATATAAACTAACAAATAAGTTCTTGAAGCATGCTCACTGTTACTAAATACCACCTCACTATCAGTAAATACCACCTCACTATCACTATACACCACCTCACTATCACTATACACCACCTCACTATCAGTATATGCCACGTTACTGTCCGTATATAACAACTCACTATCAGCATACACCACCTCATTATCAGCACATACTATCTTACTATCAGTATATACTACCTCACCATCAGGTTATACTATCTCACTATCAGTATACACGACCTCACCATCAGTATACACCACCTCACTATCCGTATATACCACCTCATTTTCAGTATATACAACCTCGCTATCAGTATATACCACCTCAATATCAGTATGCACCACCTCATTTTCAGTACATACAACCTCGCTATCAGTATATACCACCTCACTATCAGTATACACCACCTCACCATCAGTATATACTACCTCATATCAGTATATAACACTTCACTATCAGTATATACTACCTCACCATCACTATATACTATCTCACCATCAGTATATACTACCCCACTATCACTATATACTACCTCATTATCAGTTTATACCACCTCACTATCAGTATACACCACCTCACCATCAGTATATACTACCTCACTATCAGAATACACCACCTCACCATCAGTATATACTACCTCACTATTAGTATACACCACCTCACCATCAGTATATACTACCTCACTATCAGTATACACGACCTCACCATTAGTATACACCACCTCACTATCAGTATATACCACCCCATTTTTAGTATATACAACCTCGCTATCAGTATATACCACCTCACTATCAGTATACACCACCTCATTTTCAGTATATACAACCTCGTTATCAGTATATACCGCCTCACTATCAGTATATACCACCTCACTATCACTATATACTACCTCATTATCAGTTTATACCACCTCACTATCAGTATACACCACCTCACCATCAGTATATACTACCCCATTATCAGAATACACCACCTCACCATCAGTATATACTACCTCACTATCACTATACACGACCTCACCACCAGTATACACCACCTCACTATCAGTATATACTACCTCACTATCACTATATACTACCTCACCATCAGTATATACTACCCCACTATCACTATATACTACATCATTATCAGTTTATACCACCTCACTATCAGTATACACCACCTCAACATCAGTATATACTACCTCACTATCAGTATACACGACCTCACCATCAGTATATACTACCTCATGTCAGTATACACCACCTCACTATCAGTATATGCTACGTCAATATCAGTATAAACTACCTCACTATCAGTATATACCACCTCACTATCAGTATATACTACCTCACTATCAGTATATACCACCTCACTATCAGTATATACTACCTCACTATTAGTATAAACTACGTCACTATCAGTATATACTACGTCACTATCAGTATATACCACCTCACTATCAGTATATACTTCCTCACTATCAGTATATACTACCTCACTATCAGTATATACTACCTCAATATCAGTATATACTACCTCATGTCAGTATACACCACCTCACTATCAGTATATACTACCTCACTATCACCATATACCACCTCACTATCAGTATATACTGCATCACTATCAGTATATACCACCTCACTATCAGCATATACTACCTCACTATCAGTATAAACTACCTCACTATCAGTATATACCACCTCTCTATCAGTATAAACTACCTCACTATCAGTATACACGACCTCACCATCAGTATACACTACCTCATGTCAGTATACACCACCTCACTATCAGTATATGCTACCTCACTATCACTATATACTACCTCACCATCAGTATACACGACCTCACCATCAGTATATGCTACGAAACGTATGTTTGTTATCAGAAGTGCACGCGAGTAAGCTAGACTAAAGTAAGTATCTGAAAATATGTTATTTTGGTGGCAACAAATCGCACCATTTAAACTGAAAAGCAGACATAGTAAAATGGGATATTCAGAGCCCGTGGAAAATCGAGAATTGAATCATTTAGGGGAAAGCATTGCAGAAAGGGCTTGATGACAGGGGTTTGGGGACTGTGAGACAGACTAGTGTGTAACGCGTGCAGGACACAGATATGTCACACTTCAGGGAGCAGGCTTGCATACCTTTCAAAGTATTTAACAAAACAAGTTTTACATCTAACCAGCCCTGTGGTCTGGCTGAAATATTTGGGACTTTCATACCTTGAAATGAATTAACGCCTTTTCTATTACGTCGTATTATCTTCACAATACTTGTTTAACAATAAATCATGTAATTTGAAAGGCAAGTTTACACGAAAATTAGCCTTTTTGTCTTGCACTTTTTCTGCAAAAGTGTTTGTCAAGCAGTCTCATAGCCAAAGCAGTACATATATCATAAGTAACTAATTTACTTTTTTGCGTTATATCGATTCATATTTTGCACATTTACCGAGAGTTCTATGGCCACAATAAACGCACCATGGCTTATGTCCCTTGCAAATGACGTCATTGGTGCACAAGTTATAAACAAATGACGTTATTATACTCTGTTAAACCCATTTCACGCGGTGAAGGTATAGGTGTGGTTCTTGTGTGCGCAGGCTACTGTTTTAAACCGTCTTGTTACCTGGCCGCCAGCTGGATTTGTGTACCGGTCAGTTCCACACTGTGATGACATTGCGTTTGGGAAAAAAGGTATACATTGTACGAAAAGTGGTACCACGTAACCAAATTGTATAACATTCAACCTGAGTCGGTCGCTCTCCAACAGTATGTTCTTTCAGCAAAAGCAAAACTGGAACGTATATGCACTATGTACATCTAGCTAGCCATCGGTGAAGTTGCTACTTAATTTCTTCATAAATCGTACAATTTGTCCCTCCTCTTTGAACAATCCTCTCTTTGATGTCGAAACCATATCCAAATACATCACGAAGATAAAAGCACTTCGTAGTTTTGAATTCTGTTTGAAATATTCGCTTTTCTATGATATCATCCGCTCATTGTAGGGAGGGAAAATTTACTGAAAATTACATACATCATAAATCTCGCCAGTTTTGACATACTACTAAATCACCATTCACGGCGTTTTGCGTATTACCGAACAAGCGGCTATTACCAAACATTATTCCATTTCCGTATGTTTTTCTTAACTTGTTGGTCGTGACAGCTTTACAAATACTATCGATCAAGGGACTCTTTCCTCGTTACTGTTACTCAACTTTTCAAAATTTGCAAATTTCAGTAACAGGACTGAAGAAAGTGTTTATCAACCTTCTGTATACACGATTGAAAACAAACGATAATGCTTCGAAGCAATGATCATGACACTTCGGTCACAACTAAATGTTTATGGCACACCGTTTGTTCGGAATAGCCCGACATGGCTGTTCCGAATGGCCTGACAAGGATGTTCAGACGAGTCGACAAGAGTTCAAAACAATTATGAAAATGTGATGAAGTGAAATATCCATTTAATCCAAAAAGATTGAGGGACAAGACTTGCTTGCCTTTGTATGTGTACATGATTCTCACTGAACGGTTCTTTGTTAGCATTACTTATTGCTTCAGATAATAAAACACAACAGGAAGTAGGCGGGGCATGGTGTTAGCAGCTCGGTAATACCCGACACCGCTCTATGTCTTAATTTAAATGTCGAATTTTACTAGGAGTATTGAATTTGGGAAAAAAAACCCGTTTCATTGAGATCACCGGTATTTTTGTTGTTGTTGTTGTTGTTGTTGTTGTTTGATCGAATCACCAATTATGAAACATCGTGGATGAACCGAGAATCGCTGAGAATGTATTTGAAAACAAGAACTTTCAGCTACCTTGCACAGTGTTTATAAAACACGTCACACATATGTCGGTTATGTTTCGCCCATTACATAAACAACTACAGTTCAGTATCAGCTTCCTCATACAGTTCACAATAGAATGACAAATGGTCTTTGTCACCAATACCACGTGTCTCAGTGAAATCCAGCGAAATATACCAGAAGTGAAAACGAATGCCGCGCTGACAAAGGACCGCATGTTTGAAATGTAAACAAAGCCAAGCTCACATATTACACTGTGTATCATTTTCTTATACCGTGAGAGATTCGTTCGTCTACTCATTGCATACACTTCTCTTAAGTTTTAGCTCATGCATGGGAAGATTATCGTAGCAAGAAACTGGGAAATCAAAATAGGTGTATTTCAATGATTTCCTAGATTCAACACAATATATTATAGTTTCCGTAAGCGTGACGTCATGACTGACGCAAACTCACGCACAACGTTGACGACACTTCTTCTCATTTCTGACTATTTCCATGAGTCACAATGAAAACGAAAAGAAAATAACAAGCAGCAGATTGTCAGAATGTTTCGGACTACTTACATATCACATTTATGCATATACGTTGCTTGAA